GACTTTATTAAAATTTAATATATTATTTTTTCCCCAATTACACACAAAAACCATTTTTTAACATTTTTTTTAAAAATTCTCTCTCTTTCCCTCTCTTTCCCCTCCTCAGTGAGAAGGCAAGCAAGTTGATATAGGTTATACATGAGTAATCATGCAAAACATATTTCCAAGAAAAATGAAGTAAAGAAAAAGTGTGCTTTGATGTCCATTCAGAATCCATCAGTTCTTTCTTTGGAGGTGGATAGTATTTTTCATCATAAGTCCTTCAGAATTGTCTTGGATCACTGTGTTAACTAAGTCATTTACAATCCATCATCATATAATATTGTTGTTACCATACACAATGTTCTGGTTCTACTCATCTCACTTTGCATCAGTTTATATAACTGATTTTTCTGAGAGCATCCTGCTCATCATTTCTTTTTTTTTATTCTTTTTTAATATATTTTATTTTCCCTCAATTACAATTTAAAAACAATTTTAAACTTTTTTTTAAGTTTTGAGTTCCAAATTCTATCCCTCCCTCCATCCCTTCCCTCCCCATGCCCTGAAATGGTAAGCAATCAGATATGGGTTATACATGTTCAATCATGTAAAACATCTCCATATTAGTCATTTTGTAAAAGAAGTCTTGAATAAAAGAAAAAGAATGAAAAAAAGTGAAAAACAGCATGCTTCAGTTTCTACTCAAATTATATCAGTTCCTTCTTTAGAGGCAGATAGTATGCTTCATCCATCATTAGTCTTTTGGGGATTGTCTTGGATCATTGTATTGCTGAAAATAGCTAAGATATTCACAATTCTTCGTCATGCAATAATGCTGTTACTGTGTACAATGTTTTCCTGGTTTTGTTCATTTAACTTTGCATCAGTTCATGTAAGTCTTTCTAGGTTTTTCTAAAATCATCTTGCTTGTCATTATTTATCTGTTCATCATTTCTTATAGCACAATAGTATTCCAATATAATCATACACAACAACTTGTTCAACCATTCCCCAATTGATAGACATCCCCTCAATTTCTAATTCTTTGCCACTACTAAAAAGAGTTGCTATGAATATTTTTGTACATAGAAGTCCTTTTTCTTTTTGTTTTTTTATATCTTTTTGGGATACAGACCTAGTAGGGGTATTGGTTGGTCAAAGGACATTACATGGTTTTATAGCCCTTTGTACAGAATTCCAAATTGCTCTACAGAATGGTTGAATCAGTGCACAACTTCACCAGAGATGCATTAGTGTCCCACATCACTTCCAACATTTGTCATTTTCCTTTTCCCAGCGGGAGATTATTAGTAATAACCAATAGTGTATGTATTAGTAATAACTAATAGTGTAAGGATATATAGAAAGAGCAGTGAATAGAGACCTGGGGTCAAGTTCTGGCACTTCTCTTTATTGGCTCTTCAGCTTATAAAATGAAGGAGTTGTTGTATATTATTAGGAAGGTATTGTGGTACAATGGAAAGAACATTGGATGTGAAGTCAAAGGACCTATATTCGAATGTTAGTTTTGCAACTTTGTCCATTGTCATAAAATACCTCAAATACATTTGTGGTGGCATCAGTTCTCCCCTCCTTCCCTTCCCACTGAGACTTTTTTTCTGCAAATGTCCTTCCATTTGCCTTCAGCTTTAATAAAATGATATTAATAGATAGCATTTGTGTATTACAGAGGTTTACAGAGTCCTTCAAAACTTCCTCGTTTGATGCTTTTAAATGCATAAAATATATAGGATTACAAAGGAAATCAATTATGTTTCTACACTTATAAAAATATTCCATGTTAAGAAACCCCCAAAACTAACCATTTCATTTTTACAATATTGCCCCTATTTTATAAGTAAGAAAACTTAGATTCCAATGGGGAAGCACCTTATCCAAGGTCACATAGTTTATATCTGAGCCTAATATGGAATTCGGGTTTTCCAGAGTTAGTTTAAGTTTTACTTCCAGTTCCCATACTGACTCTAATTTCCTCTGAAAGGAGGAAGGGGAGTGTGCTTTAATAGAAAGAAAATTCAATGTCTTCTTCTCAATCCTCACTCTCCTTGACCTCTCTGAAGCTTTTGACACTGTTGATCACCCTCTTCTCTTTGATAACTTTATTTTCTCTATGTTTTTGAGGTACTATTCTTTCCCAGTTCTTCTCCTGTCTATTTGACCACTCCTTCTCAGTCTCCTTTGCTGGATCCTCTTTCAAATCATGCTAACTGTAGGTGTCCCGTGGAGGTCTGCCCTGGGCCTTCATTTCATCTCCCTCTATACTATTTTACTTAGTGATCTCAACTGATCCTATGGATTCAATTAGAATCCCCATGCAAATATTTCTTAAATCCATCTATCCTGCCTTAACCTGTCTTCTGACCTCCAATTTCACCATCTCCAACTGCCTTTCAGACATCTTGAACTAGATGTCTAATAGACATCTTAAACTCAACATGTCCAAAACTGAACTCATACCCTCTCCCTTTCCGTTATCTGTATTACTGTTGAGTGTGAGCCATTAAATAACCTCAGGCTCTCAACCCAGGCGTCATCCTCAGTTCTTCATTTTATTGCACTACCATATTCAATCTATCACCAAGGCCTGCAGATTTCACCTTTGCAACATCTCTGGAATATATTCCTGTAAACTGAGGCAGATGCCCCCAAGGGGGAAGACACACTTTGGAGAACCCAAAGGCCAGTTCTGGTGACTTAAGTTCCCCTTTTCCTTAAAAAGAAGAAAACCATAGGAAGACGATGCCTGTGAACTTAAAGAAAGGTTTTTATTAAGCAGGGAAGAAAAAAACATGTACATGGTAGGGTTAGGGTTAGAGTCAGAATCAGAGAGTTAGAGTCAGAGGCTTTTAACAGGACAGCCAGAAAGTTTATCTACCTTTCAAGCAAAAGAAGGTGAGGAATTTGGAGGGAAAGGTGGGCTTAGAAAGGAACGAATCAGTGAACCCTATCTCCAAGGGAAGGGAGGCATGAGGAATGCAGGGTCAGTGCTGTGGGCCTTCGATACACAAGTCAGAGGGCATCCTTGGTGATAAGCAGCCCATAATTCAAGACTTAATGAGATGTCTCCAAAAACAGGATATTTCGAGAGGCCCCTAACCAAAATTAGTAATAATTAAAAAAAAAACCAGGCTATGTCCAGTCTCATAACCTGCAGTCAGGAAAGTCTTTGAAGATAGGGATGTCTCTTGAAGGTTCATAAACCACAAAAGGCTCAGGATCTACTTAAAAGCTGGCATAATCTTAATTGGATTCAGAGTTGCTGATTTTCTGCATGTCCAGCTGGGTTTACTCAAAGGATTACTGGTACGTCTAGCCAATACAGTCAGTCCTTTCATACAGTTCTTCTAGTTACCTAGATAATTGGGGGGGGGGTGATCCTCATCAGTGGGGTTCAAGCAAATCAAGGTACCCATTTTCAATTCACTTCTGTCTTCTGACACTGCCATTACCCTGGTACGGGTCCTCATCACCTCATACCGCACACCTGGACTACTGCAATAGCCTGCTAGTGGGTATGCTTGCCTCAATTCTGTCTTCACTCCAATTTGTGATGGTTAAAAAGTGCAAGAGACATAATTTCTGGGTAATTAATCATTGTATTAATCATGCAATAATTAATAAAAGGAGTCAGTGACACTCTCAAATGCTGAAAACCCCTCATAGAATCCATCCTATGTTTATATGCTCTTGGAAGGGTGGGTATTCCTGAGGGTGGCAATCAATTCTGATTAACAAGTAACAAAAGAAAATGAATATGACAATGAAAGGTGGACCCATTCTAATGAGGGGCTGGGGGATGTGACTTTGATCAAGTCATTTACTTCCAAACATACCCCCAGTTTTGAGCAATCTAAGTAAAGAATTTATTCCCATTCAAACCTGAGTAGAACACAATGGGCTTCCCTACCTGGATGAAGTCTGAACAAAACTTTCTGTTTGGCATTCAAAACATTTCATAACCTAATTCCTTTTACCTGTCTGGTTTTCTAATACCTTACTCCCTGTTTCATACTATTCCATCCAATGATGCTGGCCTCCTGGATGTTTCTTGAAAAAGACCCTTCCTCTCTTGGCTCTGCTCATTTCCTCTGGCTCTCCCCTATGCCCAGAATGCTCTTCCTCTTCATCTCTACCTAATACCTTTCCTGGCTTCCCTTAAGTGCCAATTAAAATCCCATACTCTACAGAAAGCCTTTCCTAATCCCTCTTAATTCTAATGCCTCCCTTTTAATTACTTCCTCTTTATGCTATATGTAACTTGCCTGTACATACTTGTTTGCTTAGCTCCCATTTGATTATGAGGTCCTTGAGGGTAAAGACTGTCTTTTTTGCCTCTTTTTTTTTATCCCTAGCCTAGCACATAATACAGTGTCTGACACTGACTGAACAAGGGCTGAATGTAGAGTTAGAAGACCCAGGTTAAAATTCAGATACTGATAATTCTCTAGCTTTGTGACTCTGGGCAATTGCTTTCCCATTCTTGTTTCAGTTTCTTCCTCTGTAAAAATGAAGGGGTTAGCCTATTGGGGTTCTTAACCTGGAGATTGACATTTGTTACAAATACCTTAGTAATTATTTCAATATAATTGAATTCCTATGTTATCACACATTTTATCTCAAGTAATTAAAAACATTATTCTGATAAAGGCTCCATAAGCTTTACTAGGTTACCAAAGGGATCTATGACACAAAAATACTTCAGAACCTCAGTCCCTAAAGTCCTGTTTAGACCTGACAGCCTAAGGCTAACATGATGCACCTTGAACTCGATGGCTCCGCCCACCCTCGTCGTAGCCCCGCCCACTTCAGTCTCAGGGCTCTGAGCAGAGCTATTCACAAGTCCTGTTCTATAGAATTTTAAGTGGGTGGGGCGGGAGAGGGGTGGAGCAGAGGCGTGGAGGCCCCCTAAGGAGCATGCGCAAACTATGGAGTCCTAGGACGTCGCCGAATCTACTGCCCAGGGTAGCAACATAGACACGCGGAGACGGCACCAGCCAATCAGCTTGCGGGGAGGGGGTGGAGCCTCCCCCCTCCGGCGTTCGGAGAACATTTGGTGACTTCCGGCAATAGCCAAGCGCTGCTCCCTGGGGCTGCAGAGCGAGGCACTTTTACGGGATCGGGGCAGGAGCCAGGTAAGGGGGAGGACACCCCGAGACAGGCTCGCCTCTGCGCTCGGGCTGCCCCCGACTCCTTCGAGGCCCGCTCTCCCTCTGCCCATGTCCCCTCCATCCTCCGCCCCCACCTCTGTGATCCTGCAGTCCCCTCCAGCCGGGCTCCCCATCTCCTCCTCCTTTTGTGCTCCCTGGCTCCCTCTCCGGTGATCTCCATCCTCCTTCTCCCACCCTCCCCTTCATTTGATTCTTGTGCACTCCCTCCCTTTCTCCTTGCCTCCCCTCCTCCACGGTCCCTTTCCCATCCTCTGCTCTCTCCTTCCATCTTCCCTTCCCTGTCTTTTCCCTTCCTGTTCTCATTGGTGCCTGTCTCCCCACTGCTTCTGCTAACCTCCCTTCTCCTGCATCCGTTTCCCATCCTCCCTCCTTTCTTTGTTTCCCCCTCTCCTTTTCATTCCTCCTCTTCTGGGCTCTTTTTAACACCTCTTCTCCCCGTCATTTGTGCTCCTTGGCCTCCTCCTCTTCCTCCTTTCTGTGCTCACCCCTCTCCTGGCCTCTCCTTGTTTTACCCTTCCTCTTGTCCCCGTTTGGCCTGCCTTCGCTGCCTACCTTACACCTTTACTGCTGTCTCCTTTGTTGCCTGTTCTCCCTAACATCCTTCAGATGTCAGCTAAAAATCCTATCTTTTGCAATAAGCCTTCTCCATACTAAGAATCATGCTAATAATCTGCCCTCAGAGATTATTTCTAGTTTATCCTGTATATATTTGTTTGAATGTAGCTGTTTGCATGTTGTCTCCCCCATTGGATGGTAAGCATCTTGAGGGCAGAGACTGGATTTTGCCTTGCTCAGTATCCCAGTGCTTAGCACAGTACCTGGTATGCTTCTTGTTTTGAGTGGACTCTCCCCCTTCATGTATTCCCCCAACTCACTTCTTATTAAATGGAATCTTATAACTTTGTTACCTTTTTCCTTATCACTGATGATTGTCTTCTTCCTATTGTTAAGCTGTAATTCCAACCACCTTTCTCCATCAGATGCTGCCTCTTTTCTCTGTCCAATTAAAATTCAATCACGGGATCACATCAAGATATTGGATCTTGATAAGATCCTAGAAAAATATTTGATCTGGGACATAGGTTTAGTCTTCTTTACACTATACCATCCTTCTCCCATTTGTAAAGACTAAAAGTGTCTTGACTCAACCAACATGAGGCTTTCTCACTGGCCAAGACATGATCTCTTTCCTCCCTTTATGAGCAATTCTAAAACAAGCCCTAAACAAGAAGAGCATCCATCTCCTGATATCATATTTTTATTTATTTTCCTTTGGATTCTCTCTATTTTCAAGTAGTATCACTGATTATTCCCTTTGTTTTCTTTAACTTTATTCTTAACACTCTGCCCTTGATTATTCAATACTAAAAAAGTCTGTTCATTCTCTATTTCTTTCCTTAATGAAACTCAGCCTTGATGTAAACAATCTGGAAATAGAATAATCCTAAATTATTTGTATTAATTTATAGAAGAAATGCCCTATGTGATATGGATTCAGCCTTTTAAGAATGAAGCATGATGTGACCTTGGACAAATCACTTAACCTCTCTAGGCCTCAGTTTCTTCATCTGAAAAAGAAGGGTTGAACTACATAGCTTCTGATGTTCTTTCCATCTCTAGATCTATCATCCTATGTTCCATTCTATTTTATTAGAAGACTATAAAGACTGTACCTTTGAAATATATAGTGAGAAATAATAAACAATCAAAAATATATCCTTCTCTTGGAGATCCATTAACTAGCCATGAAAACAACCTTGCCATTACAATCAGTTGTCAATGCTGTTTGTTATGCTGTTGTATTTAAACTATTTATAGCTCGTACCTTGTACTTAGAGTTTTTATTATCTTGAAGACCAATTTAATAACTAGCTCAATGATTTTCAAAGAGTATTTTAGTTGCTTACCTTCCACTTAACTGAGAAAGAGATGGCAAGGCATTATAAAGGGTTCGGCAAGTTTTTTTTGAGGATTAAAGTTACATTTTGTTTGAATCATGTTTTCTGTATCTTACTGTAAAAGGCATTTCAATGTCAGCTTAATGTAGCTGAGTCAGTAGACTGGGATTTAAATCCTGCCTCCAGTACTTAAAAATTGTGTAATTTTGGGGAAGTCACTTTCAGACTTACTTTTTCTCATCTGTAAAATGAAAATAACAGCATTTGCACTATTGGATTGCTTTGAGGAAAGTGCTTAGTAAACCTTCAAATATTATAATAAATGCCAATTATTATTTGTATTGTTCATAACTTTAGATCTTAAGTGTTACAAAGTACCATGATAATGCGGGTTTTAAATTCTGTTATGATTCAAATTGATTTGAGGAAAGCAAGTGAGAAGGAAAATGCTGTCATATGGTTGAAGAATCAGCTATTTCTTTGCTACCCATGCTTCTGAAATGGACAAGTTCTTCTACTCATACTAGAGCTCATCACTTTTACTTAGTACCATACCAGCTGTGGTTTTCCTCTTAGTGATATGAGAGCTCATTTCCACATTTAACCTGACATCATTTGTGATGAAATATGCAGTAGCCTCATTACAAGTAACTGTACAAGCTATTACATGAAAAGGCAGTAGATATTTACTCAGCAACTAGATACTTACACATATAATACACCCTACATCTGTCACACCAGAATTTCTCCAGTTGCCTCAAAAGGTATGAGACAAAATTAATTTTAATTTAATACATTTTTAAGTGCCAGATAACAAAATTCTCATAGTCTCACTTCTAAAACAGGTTTTTAATCGTTATATCATAGTGCTTTGCACATAGTAGTCACTATAAATATTTATTAAACTGAATTGTGAATATTCCAGTTTTGTTCTTAATACTTAGGCAGTTGAGAGCAATGTCAGATCCATACCTCTTTCACTTGAAGGAGCTAGGCCTTTAATTAAGGGAATAAGGTAAAATGAGGTTTTTATTTATGTATTATTTTCCCCCTAAGTCCATCCCTTCTCCTAACTTTCCTCCTCCCAGTCACCCAGGTTCATAACTTCAGAGTCATCATTCACTCTTTATTTTCTATTATTTTTCACATCCAAGTGTGTGTTTCTCCCCTCCTCCACCTCAGCTCTCTGTGTGCCAGGGGACCCAGCAGATTGGATTCTGTGGGAAGCCCTTTCTAACCTTCCTACTAATACTCCCCTTCCCTTTCTCTTTATTGTCAAGGTGCTAAGGCTGCTCACCCACCCTACAAGAGAGAACTCAGAGTCTGATCTACTATGACCCTTGGACTTATTCCCAACACTCTAGTAGTTGTGGATAGGGCCCCACCCTCACCACATGGGCATAATTTCTCATACTAATTGTATGAGCAGGGAGTCACCAACTTAAGTCCTTCCTGTAACTGAGTGAACTCACGGACCTTACCATCTATCTCCTTTTCCATTTTGCCCTAAAGTCCATCAGGTCTTTTCATTTGCACTGCAATTGAACTGTCATATATAGGTTGTCCCCTCCAGTAAGGATATGAATTCCTTGAGAGCAGGAGACAAAATTGAGGAAGGGGCCAGTCATAAAATTCACAGCCTCAAATGTCAGTATAAATAACCCACTGTCATAGGCAAAGAGGCAGGTGTGCCTTCATAAGAATCATGGATTTGGTGGGATGAAATGTGTGACTAGACAATGATACTGCACAAGTATACTAAAAGATACAGGATAGGTAAAAAGTGGTGGGGGCATTGTTCATTAAGAAAGTATACTCAATGTGAAGAAATCCAGGACCCAGAGGATGAGCAGAATGACAGAGACAAGGGTCAGGGTCAGTGTTTAGAGAAACAGAAGTAATTTTGTCATTGGAATATGATACATACCACGTAGATAGAGTGGAAATATATCAAATTTATGTTATGTGACTTCAACTAGGCCCTCGTGGCTATGAAGCAATCCATCTGTACCTTCCTAAACATCTCATTCTCACACTCATCTAAACTGAACCTTTTTGTCCTTCCTCAAACCTTCCATGACTTCACTTTCCCCTCCCCTTCCCAGGTGAGAACCTTGCCTCATACTTTACTGGAAAAAACTGAGGCCATTCACTCCACTTTTCACCTTCTCATCTCACATCACTCAGATGCCTTCTGCCACCTTTTTCACTGCTGTCTCATATGAAGTGACCCTCCTTGGAAAGGCAAGCTCTGCATACACAAGTGATTCCATTCCATCCCAATTCCTCTAGTAGATTAACCCCTCTGTCATCCCCACTCATCTTCAATCTTTGCCTGTCTCCTGGCTGCTTTTCTACTATCTACAAACATGCCCATGTTTCTCCCTGCTAGCTATTACACCATATCTTTTCTGCCTTTTGTAACTCAATTCCTTAAGAAGACTTTCTACAATAGGTTCCTCCACTTCTTCTCCTTTCACTCTCTTAACTCTACAGTCAAGTTTCCAGCCTCATCATTCAATTGAAACAGCCCTCCAAAGTTACTAGTGTTCTCTTTAAGTGTCAAATCCAATGACGTTGTCTCAGCCTTTATTCTCCTTGCCATCTCTGCAGCCTCTGACACCCTTGATCACTCTCATCTCCTTGATACTCTCTTTTTTTGAGCTGTCAGAAAACTACTATCTCCTGGTTCTCCTCCTACTTATTTGACTGATTCTTCTCTGTCTCCTTTGCTGGTCTTCATCCAGGGCATACCCACTAACTTCAAGTATCCCACAGGCATCTGTCCTGGGCCTTCTTCTTTTCTTCCTCTATACTTGGTGATCACATCAGCTCTCATGAATTCAACCATCTCTGTTCTGATGATTCTCAAATCTACTTATCCATCTTTAACGTCTTTGCACTTTCAGTCTTGCATCTCCAAATGCCTGTTAGACATCTTGAACTATGTGCTGTGAACATCATAAACTCAGCATGTCCAAAACTTCCTAACAATTAAAGCTAGAATAGACTGCCTAGATAGGTGATGGGTTTACCTTTCTTACCAGTCTTCAAGCAGAAGCAAGACAACCATTTATTAAAAATGTTATAGTGGAGATTGCTTTCTTGTATGGACTGAATGACATGGTCACTGAGGTCCCTTCCAATTCTCAAATTCTAGTCCATACAGACATTTTCCTCTCTTATACATTGAATTGTTGAAACTCAACAAGCATTTAGTAAGCACTTATTTTGTGCCAGGCACACAAGAAAAGAACTGAAAGTCTCTACCTTCCTAGACCTTACTTTATAATGGGAGTGGGAAGTGAGAGAGGATGACTTGGTATGCTGATGTTAACAACCATATAGAGGAGGGGGGAGAAATGCATGTCACTTGAAGTTTAATCTGCATTATTAACACTTTCTTAAGTTTAGGCAATCAATAATAATAAATAAAAACAATAAAAATGTAAACAACAATAAATCAAGCCCTGATTTGTAGTATTTGCTGATTTCCAAGGTGTAAATACTCACTGAAAATTTAACAATCAGCAGACTCTTGTAAGTTGTTTGAGCTGGCTGTAGTACACTCCTGTACTATACAAGATACATACAGCACATATAGAGTAGGTAAAAGCCAATCTAAAAGGAGATGGCTTTAGCAGTTGATGGGCTTGGTTGTGAAGAGTTTTAAATCCCAAAGAGGGATTATATTTGATTCAAGAGGTAATAGGGAGCCACTGAAGTTTACTGAGTAGAGGAATAGTCTGGTCAGACTTGCACTTTAGGAAGAATCACAGCTATGTGATTGGCAGCCATGTGGAGGATGTAGTGGAGTGGTGAGAGACTTGAGGGGAGGAAAGTTAGAAGGCTGTTACAATATGAAATTATGCCCAAGAATTATAAAACTGTGTATAACTTTGACCCAGTGATACCACTATTAGGCCTGTTTCCCCAGGTGATCAGGGAAAAAGGAAAAAAAACTATACATTCTGAAATCTTTATAGCAGTCCTCTTTGTGATGGCAAAGAACTGGAATTTGAGGAGATGCTCATCAATTGGGAAATGGCTAAACAAGTTGTGGTATGTGATTGTGATGTAATACTACAGTGCTGTAAGAAATGATGAGCTGGTTGATTTTAGAAAAATAGGAAGATTAGCATGAAATAATGAAGAGTGAAATAAGCAGAACCGTGAAAACATTATATACAATAACAGCAGTATTGTTTGAAAAATAATTGTGAACGACTAAGTTACTCTAAGTATTATACTCAAATTAACTACAATGGACCTATGAAGGAAGATACTATCTACCTCCAGAGAAAGAGTTGATTAATAAATGCATAGTGTGGTTTTACATATATTTATAAATCTGTGTGAAATAGTGGCCTTCTCTACTGCAGGGGAGGAGAGTACGTGGGGAGGGTGAGAGGGAGACAGTTTGGAATTTAAAATGCAACAAAATAAAATATAAAAATAAAAACATGAAAAAAGGAGTAAAAAAGGTTACTGCAGCAATACAAGGAGAGAACTAAGCTAACATCATTCTACCATCTCTGGTTTCTAGGGCCCATATAGTATGGTATCCAAAAAGGGTTAATGTAACTATTGCAGATGTGAAGATATTTTTATATTTTATTATATAAATGAAACATTTTTATAGGAAAAAAATATGCCATTTTTGGGTCAAGATTGGAGATCTCCTGGATGGAGTTGGATTAAAACAGAAGATGGCTGGAAAAGATGTGAATCCTGTAATCAGGAACTTGAAAGAGAGAACAACGAATGTAACATCAATCATGGCATGTAAGTTATAGCTTTTTATTTATTTATGCTTTGATATAGTATTTTAAAATTTTTAAATGACAGATTCATGAAATATACATTTTAACTTTGTTAAAAACATCTTTCTGATGAAGATATGCAATGACTTTAAACATGGGATTGTACTTTGCACTATACAATTTATACTCTGTAGGTTTCAAGGAGAATAAATTAACATGTATGTCGAACTTCCTTGCTTTTTGAGATTAATCACATAAATGTTGGTGTCCATTTATTAAAAAAGCAAGTTATCAAAGTGATTCTTTGGTGACTTTGCAGGGCCTGGGGTTTTATCAAAGTGGGTATTACACCCATCAGTAAAGATTATAGCCACTCTTGTATGTCTTCTTATCCGATATAATTCCTGTCCTTGTGTTTTTTTCATTAATTCTCCATGAAAGATCTTCTCAGAGTGCTAGAGGATCAGTGTGGTACTCCAGCTGTCATTCTCTCTGTTATTCTTGAAAAATGATTGTGACTTTCTGGTCATACGTGTCCTTATTGTTGTTTTTCACATGACTTCTCTTGTTCTGCTATTTTTGTTACACTGTGAAATCATCCTTATGCCTTAAATCTGGATTACTTAAAACTCATTCTACTGAGATTCTGACTTCATGTTTCACAAGCATCTTGCATTGCCAGGGAGAATATTCATATAAGATAAGAGCTTTCAGTGGTGTTGGTGTGTTTGAGGTCATGATTTTTCAAATGTTATTTGGTCTAATCTCTCCTCATCTGAGGGAAGCTAGATGGCACAGTGGATTGAGTGCCAGGCCTGTGGTCAGGAAGACTCATCTTCCTGAGTTCAAATCTGGCTTCAGACACTTACTAGCTGTGTAACCCTGGGCAAGTCACTTTACCCTGACTGCCTCAGTTTCCTCATCTGTAAAATAAGCTAGGGAAGGAAATGGCAAACCACTCCAGTATCTTTGCCAAGAAAACCTCAGATGGGGTCATGAAGAGTCAGACACAGCAGCAAGCCCCTCCTTTAGTTCTGCATTCAGCTTGATTTTTTCCTTCTGTAGCTTCCATCCAATACAAAGTAATAGAGTCCTCGCCACTCAGAGATACTAAGAGCATTGAATACCTGCTCAGAAAGAGATTAGAGGGGACTCTTGTGTGGGCACTGGGCATAGGACTCGGCACCGTTTGGCAACTCCATTACATAATACCCAGGCCCAGGAGCACTTGCAGTCACAAGGAAGCAGGGGCCCTAGTTCCAGGTTGCAGTTCCACAGCAGAGAGGAGTGCTAGTGATTGCAGTTGCAAGAGAACTGTAGCCCTTCCTGGATAAGGACCAGAGAACAGAACAGTGACCAGACCTCTCTCTAGACCACACTACCCTGGAAGCATCAAAAACTTAAAGACCCCTGGAAACAGCTGGGAAAGCAGCAGGGTAAAAAAGCCTGAAGAACAGCAAAGCTGAAGGTAATTTTAATTTAAAGAGAATTGTTTCAGTTGAGGTATGATGTCTGAATCCAGATTATTAGCAAGTGAATAGTGAGTGGGAGGAGAGAAAGTGGAGGTAATAAGAGTATAAAGTATTTTTCCTGGGAATTTGACCATGAAAAGTAGTTGCATAGAAATGCAAAACCAAATACTATGAAGTATATTCATATATTTCTGTCTTTCTGTTCCATAATGACACAGTTAACTCACCATCAGAAGTCAGTGGTTTTTATGACTTGCTTTTCTTTAAATTAGTTGATGCCTGGTATTTTTGTGACCTTGAACAAATAATTTAATCTCTCTGGGTCTCAATTGCATTATTCATAAAATGGAGAGATAATATAGGTTCTTGTAGGTAGAGGGCTTAGTAAATAATATTATAACACTATATAAATGGAAGTTGGTATTATTATTACTGATCTTACAATATTGACTCATCAAGCCAATCCACATACTCCTGCCACTCATCAGCTTATAACTTTGGGCAAGTCTCTGAAGTTTTCTGAGCCCACTTCCATTATCTCCAAAATCTCAGAGGATAGAGTTGGACTAGGTTATCTCTAAGATCTCTTTTAGTATTAAATTCTATAAAATATGAATAATGAATGTTTGTTGCTTAATAAAAAGTCACACTTCTATAGCATATGCAAAGCAGCATCCCCAGTATAACACTATGAAGTTGGTATTATTAGTATTACATCTTCATTTTTTAGATAAAGAAACAGCCAAATGAACCAGAGTTTCAGGGCTGGTCAGTCATTCAGTAAACATTTATTAAGTGCCTTCTGTGTACCAAGCTCTTTGTTAAGCACTGGAGTTACAAAAAGAGGCCCTCAAGTAGCTTACAGTCTAATGGAAAAAACAATAAATAAATATACATATACACACACACATATGTATATAAACATACACACCTATATATCATACACACAACTGTGTGTGTGTGATATATAGGGGTGTGATGTGTGTTTATGATATATATAGGTGTGTATGTGCGTGTGTATATATACACATACATATATATATGTATAAAATCGACATAGAGGATAGATGGAAGTAAATAAGAAAGAGAAGGTGGTTGTATTAAGAGGGATTTTACTTGAGACTTGAAGGTGGAGAAGGCATTAGGAAGAAATAAGGAGGGTAGAATTCCAGGCATTAGGGACAGCCAGAGAAAATGCCCAGAGCCAAGATGAGTGTGTCTTGTTTCTGGGGAGGCCAGTGTCACTGGATCAGAGAGTGTAGGGAGTAAGGTGAAAGAAGACTGGAAAGGCGGGAGGGGACTTGGTTGTGAAGAGCTTTGAACATGAAACAGGATTTTGTATTTGATCCTGGAGGCAATAGGGAGCTAGTGGAGTTTATTGAGTAGGGAGGTTTCATAGTAATGCTGCACTTTAGGGATAGCACTTTGAAGAGTGATTGGAAGCTGGATTGGAGTAGAAAGAGAGTTCAATCATCAAACATTTGTTTAGCAAGAAAAAAAAACAAAACAAAAAAAGTGAATGGATTAGCTTGAAAAGTCACCTGTCTGGGTGCTTGCAATAGTACATTTGTGAAATTGAATTGAATTGGGCAATTTGAATTTTTGATTCACCTTGTTTTTCCCCTTTTTGATTTGGACTCTGTACTAGATATTTTTCATAATGGTGATTAACACCTCTTGCAAGTATGTGTCTCCCTGTTTTATTCTTTGATTAATATTAATAGCCAAAGTATGATCAACCAATTTATCACTGTAGTTACATTTTTTGTATGATTTTAACATTTGCATGGGAGCTATCTTATTGGAAGGGTACCTTTAAGACACTGTTTAATTCCTTAATGATTCAAATATATATAATTTACAGTCAGATAATTAATTCAGAAAATTCTATTCTCTACAATTTTTCCATCAATTTTGTGGTTGTGAAGATGTAGGATTCTATAAGATATTGAGAAAGCCTGCTTCTTTCTCATAGCTTCTGCACAGATATCCTTAATATATGTATGTGTTGATTACTGTTAGAAATATTTCATAAAGATGCTAAAGTGGGCATGTAACTCATTAATTCTATATTCTCTCAGTTGTCCTTTTCGATAAAAATGTCAGATGTTTTGCATGCCTTTGGATCTCAGTACTAATTGTCTGGCCTCTAGTACAAAAATCCTCTGTATATACTTGTTCTAGTGCAGCTCCTTTCTACATCTTTGTTTTCTTTGGTGTCAACCATACTTCGTCCTGTGGCACATTGGGACTGCCATATTAGGACCCAAATGTGGTGGCATCACTCTACTCAATGGTGAAAAGAGTTTGTTGTAAAAAAAAGTCTTTATAGGTCTCCATTTTTCATGTTTATTGTTCTTTTAATTTCATCCTTAAATGTCCTCTTGATGACTGCTTATTAGTTTAGTCTGTCACCAACCTTTAAATTTGTCTTTCCCTCCACTGCCTATAACATTCCACTATCTCGTATGTACAGTTTTTCAAATACGTTTGCTACCTTATCTTTAAACTTGGCATCGAATGCTCATGGACAAAATTGACTTAGTTGTCTCTTGTGCCAAAATTGTTGTTGACCCATTTTCCCCTTTGCTTCCTTCTACTGCTTTGTGAGGCACTTATGATTTTCAAATCACCATCTATTACATAGAATTTTGTAAATGAGTTTATATCTTGAACTAGTGGTGTCCATAGCTACTGGTAACATTTCTCTTCTTGGTAAGGACATTATTTGTTGGCTGAAGTGGTTTCTGGACTCTTTGGTCCTATTCATTAAACTAATTATTTTACCTTCCTTCAGCACTTGTTTAGCCACCTTAGTATATGGTGATACTCAGAACTACTGTATTTTCTTACATCTATTTGTCATTCTTTTGGCATCAATAATTTGTTCAGATAGATGAGGTTGTGTCTGTAATTACACCAAGTGTCATCTCATTTTTGTCCTTCTGATTTGGTGTTGATTTTACCTTTCCTCTGATTGGTTAATGTTCTGACTACATATAGATGATTATGAAATTACTACCCCAGCAAAAGCCATTCATTTTTAAAGATATAGTCGTGTGTGTGTGTGTGTGTGTGTGTGTGTGTGTATGTGTGTGGTGTATGATGTTAGGTGTTCACTATGTTTGGTGCATCTTCTGACTCTTCTTGAAGGTAGTATTCATGACCTGTAGGCGAGAAGCTTAGTATATAAGCCTTTGGCCTTTTTTCTTTTTTTCTAATTAAAAAAATGTTTTAAAATCACTGAAAGTCACTTGAAATGCTACTCCTGGGAGAGCTAAGTGGTGCAATGGATAGAGCACCAGCCCTGGAGTCAGGAGGACCTGAGTTCAAATGTGGTCTCAGACACTTGCTACTTACTAGATGTGTGACCCTGGGCAAGTCACTTAACCCCATTGCCTAGCCAAAAAAAGAAAAAGAAATGCCACTCCTTTTCCACCTTCTCCTCCTCCCCATCGAAAAATAAAAACTCCTGTTATAAACATGACAGTCAAATTAAACAAATTCCCATCTTGGCCATATTAAAAAAAAATTCTTAATCTGTCCTCTG